AGGTAACCCATCCCCACAACGACTCGGTGAAGGTCTAAGGACGGACCGAACCGTCGTCACTTGTTTAATGTTCAGGGGCCAGATTCACGAAGCAGTTACGCACGCACTTACGAACCTGTGCATCTGTTTTCAATCGTTGGCGGCTTTGTTTACAATTATTAAAGTTAATGAGCTCCGAAGCACCAGGAGGCTGTTTATAACAATAACAACAGTTGATTGGCAAGTTTTCATACTTGTAGACTGTTTAATAAATGTAAACAAAGCCGTCAAAGATTGAGGAAAGATTATGAGGATTGAGGCAAGCACTTACGTTCGTAAGTGCTTGCCTAACTGCTTCGCGAATCTGAACCCAGATGTGTGGGGGTTGGTTGAGTGTCAGTTGCACGCTTAAGCGGCCGTTGTGAGCGCTGGAGAGGACGCGCTGACACAAGGCAGGTCTCCCAGTACACTTCAGATTATATATTAACCGTTTAGACAAATTTCTCTTTATTACCCGTTCCTTAGTGTCAATATTTACACCAGGGGGTAATATTGGCCCTGCTTCAACTCGGTGTTATTATATTCTAACAAAACTGGTGGAGCAAGTTAGCGCTTTATGCTAAGTTACGGCGCATTAGTGTGCTATAAAGAGCGCCTTATTATAATAAAGTGTCCATAAAAACTAGAGCAATAATGAGAGGTTATATTGCAGGCGTCTGGAAGGATTTCCACTAGTAGTCATAATCTTAAATTACTCTGTATTTATGCTAGGCGTCCTTAGACACCCTCGACAATATACATAAATAAGGATGTATGCATTTCGTAGCCTAGTCCAGGTGTCTGTTAAATTAATATGATTTTTACAGCGATAAAGATACATGCATTATTTTCTCTATGTATTCGCGTGGCTAAATGAACCTAATTTCAAGAGGTACTTTCCCCTGATAGCTGGTATATTGGCTCAAGGCATCGTGGGAGTAATTTCAATATATTAATACGCAGCCTTTCCTTCAATAAATTCCTCGTCCTCCTTCTAAATAGGTTAATTTTCTCAACCTTCCTTCAGGATATTTGTATAATTAGGATCGCTTATCAGAGGCGATGGCCGGGAAGGCTCCGAGATAGCCTGATAAGACGAGCAGGAAGGAGGAAGGTCGAGGTACTTAAATCAGGTATATCTTTTCAATCTCCAATTATCAAAAATGTATGCATATACAGGCATCATTCGGAAGCCGAATTGGTTACCTTCGATGACTTTTCTCTCATAAATCAGCTTTTTTTCCTCCCATGTATTGCGTTATTCTCTGTATTATCTCCTCTCCTCCTTCTGTTTATATGCAATTCCGACGAGTTGAGACCTGTTGTGAGTCTTGTGAGGGAAGCCTCGCGTGGTGGCGGCGTGTGGCAACCCCTCACCCCCTCACACCCTCACTGGCATGCTAATGTTATCATATTTTTTTTTCCTTGGTCATAGTCTTTTTTTTTTAAAAGGGTGTGGTTATTCAGTGGCTAGATAAGTGTGACGGTCGGTTAAGAGCTTGGCTCTATGTGTATGAGTGTGTTTATAGTCACCTTTTTGTACCTCCAGGATCGAACTCTATATTGCGTTTGGATCCTGTTTTTCTAGCTGTCTGTGGTCTGTTGCAATGACTGCTGACCTATTTCCATGTCATACCTGCTTTTAAAGAATAAATCCACAAGAGCCGTGACGAGGATTCGAACCTACGTCCGAGATCATCCCAGACGCTGTCTTTATCGACTGAGCTACGACATGGTCAAAAGAGTTGAAACCGAAGTGTAATGAAGTAAGGGCGAAGAGGGAGAACGGCCTATTGACACAGCTCGAGTGCAGGGGGGAGTTGTGTAAAACCCTGGTTTGTGTCTCGGAGAGGCTGCAGGATCCAGTAAGTTCAGTAGAACTTCGGTTTCAACTCTTTGGACCATGTCGTAGCTCAGTTGATAAAGGCCGTGTCTGGGATGATCTCGGACGTAGGTTCGAATCTTCGTGATGCCCTTGTGGATTTGTTCATTTGATGCAGCACGCTATTGTGATTTTTGTGTGAAATCTGCTTTTAAAGTTTTGGATTGAGTTAGCCTCTGCAACCTGCTTCTTTAGGTCATTCCATTTATACTCATTACCTCTACGCTAAAATAAAACTTTCTAACATCTCTGTGACACATCTAGAGTCTCCAGCTTCCATCTGTGCCCTCTTGTTATATTGGAATTCATTGTAAACATTTCCACTTTTTTTTGTTACTCTGTCAATCCCCCTATGTATTTTATACGTCCATATCATGTCTTCCCTCTCTCTCTCTCTCTCCTCCTTTCTAGCGTCGTCAGGTTTAGTTCCTTTCTTCCCTCATCCCTCGTAATTCTGGGACGAGTCTCGTTGCAAAATTTCGAGCTTCATTATGTGTTTTTTTGGATGGAGGCTCCACGGTGGGGGCGGCAAACTCACATAATCTCGTCTCACACAGGCGGTATATATATATTTCATATAAAAGCCTCCTTATTCAAGTTCTGAAAGGATGACCTAACTTTTTACCAGCTGTGAGCATGCAGGCGACGTTGCTCTGTTTGTGTGTGCCTCTGGAGGTAGGTTTGGTGTTATGTCCACTCCCAGGTCATTTTATCTTGTTATTGGAAGGTAGTTTCCCCTTTATCGTGTATTGACCTTTCGGTCTCCTGGCTCCTGATCCTATTTCCGTCACCTTGCACTTGCTGGTGTTGAACTCTAGCAGCCATTTCTTGGACCAGTTCTGCAGCTTGTTTAAGTCATCTTGGAGAGACTTACAATACTTGTCTCAATCTTTCTCATTAGTTTTTCATCAGCTGCAAACATAGACATATGAGAGTCAACTCTTGTAGTCAAATCATTTACATAAATGAAGAATAGTATGGGTCCCAGCACCGGTCCTTGAGGCACTCCACTTGTTACTCTACGCCAGTCCGACTCCTTGTCCCTCACTGTCACTCTCTGACTCCTGTCTCTTAGGTAATTCTTTACGCATGTTAGTGCGTTTTCGTTTACTCCCGCCTGCCTCTCATGTGTGTATAGTAATCTCCTGTGTTGGACTCTATCAATGGCTTTTTGGCAGTCCAGAAATACGCAATCTGCCCAGCCTTCTGTGTTGCTTATTTTCTTTCTTATTTGCATATTTGTTGCTTAATTTTGTCTACGTGTGCAACGTGTATTAAGCTTATAAGTCTTTCTAGTACTTTGCTAGGGATGTTAGTGAGTGTTAGTTAAGTATCTCTTAACTCGTTAGTTAAGTCTCATTTCTTTTATATTGTGTACTCACCTAGTTGTGCTTGCGGGGGTTGAGCTTTGGCTCTTTGGTCCCGCCTCTCAACTGTCAATGAACAGGTGTGCAGGTTCCTGAGCCTACTGGGCTCTATCATATCTACACTTGAAACTGTATGGAGTCAACTTCCACCACATCACTTCCTAGTGCATTCCATTTATTAACTACTCTGGCACTGAAAAAAATATTTCTAATGTCTCTGTGACCCATTTTCGTACTCAGTTTCCACCTGTGTCCCCTTGTTCGTGTTCCACCAATGTTAAATTATCCGTCCTTATCTAACCCTTATCTAGTTTTATCTACTGCTAATTCCCTGAGAATTTTGTATGTGGTGATCATGTCGCACCGAACTCTTCTGTCTTCCAGCGACGTGAGGTGCGATTCACTCGGCCTTTCCTCGTAACTCACGCCTCTTAGTTCTGGGACTAGTCTAGTGGCATACCTCTGAACTTTCTCCTGAATGCACCTGTGTGTACCTGTACTCACCTATTTGTGCCTGCAGGATCGAGCATTGACTCTAAATCCCGCGCGTGTGTGTGTGTACTCACCTAGTTGTGTTTGCGTGTGTGTGTGTGTGTGTGTGTGTGTGTGTGTGTGTGTGTGTGTGTGTGTGTGTGTGTGTGTGTGTGTGTGTGTGTGTGTGTGTGTGTGTGTGTGTGTGTGTGTGTGTGAATGTGCGCAAAAGTGTGCGCGTGTGCGGGAGTGTGTGCGTGTGTGCGAGCGCAGGAGCAGGCGCGGGGACGTGAAGGCATGTGCCATATGACGGTTGCGTAAGTTACCAGCTGTCACTAGATACCCACAACCCATTTACCTCCAGCCTTTTTTTCTCTTTTTTTACTATCTAAACTTTTTTTCCTCTCTGTAAATTATGCACGATGCATCTGTGTACAATAACAACAATATGGCGATGCGCTATAATAGGTTTCTCGTCAAGGAAGGCTCGTGCTGCAACTTACCATACGAAAATACATAATTAATACGACGAGACATTCGCCCTTTCACGTCTAGGAAAAATTTGTACCTTTAAAATCAATTACCTGAAGCGAATTACGGTATTAATAGCGTATAATTTACATCCCATAAACGTCTATTGTCATTTCGGAGTGCCTCGGGTGTCATAGAGTCGCTACCGAGGGTGTAAAACCTCGCTAGTTAAACCTGTTGCCAATAAAACCTCGATTGATTGAAAGCAGTAATTGCCTCACATCTGGCAACCTCATCAGCTGGAGTTGTCGAGAAGATGAACGATAATCTACGTTTTCCTGGCGCGTATCTCTCCCGCATGATTATTTAAGGTCTATCACGCGCTAATGAACACCAGTGGCCGCCGGGCCTCAGCAGCTGGTGGGGGTTTTGCCGGTGCGGGCGAGGCATGCCAGCAACACCGTCGGTTAAAGTTATAGGTGGCTCAGGCTGGGAACCTATGAGATATTGTCAACTCCATCCTGTTTTAAGCACTCTTAGGCAACAAAAGAGCACGTAAAAGAATGTTACATCCTTTATCAGTTCACTGTTGGAGGAGGAGTCAGCGAGCATGGCTGCCAAATAAGTGCTGTCGTGGTCGCAGCCGCCTCCACGCGGTCACGCTACCGGGGTGAGGCGACGAGCGGAGTCCCTCAAGGCTCAGTCTTGGGACCACTGCGCTTCCTGTCATGTGTGAATGACCTACCGCTGGGACTCTCTTACATGCCAACATCTGCGGTGACACAAAGCTAATGAAGAATGTAAAAGTTGAGGCAAAATGCAGACAAATAGACGAGGACCTTAACAAACTTCACGAGAAGACAGAGAAATGGCTGCTAGAATTCAATCCCAAGAAGTGCAAGGTAATACAAATGTAAAAGGAGAGAAAGAACATCAAAAGGTAACTGCAACATAAGGGAAAGACAACTACAGGAACTGAAAAGAGAAAGAGATTTGTGAGTGACTATTATTCCAACACTACGCACATCTCTTGTGCCAGGTAAGTACGACGGGATCACCATATCCCGTGCTGCTTGGAACTTTTTTGTTCCCAGTACCTGAATCTAAAGCAACAACAACACTAACACCGGGACACACATGAACTTGGTAACATCAGCAGCAAATGGGAGGCTGGCTAGCATTAGAACTTAATTTTAATTAGGAAGCTGTTAATGCAATTTCTACAGCTACTGTTAGAGGTTTGCATCAAGATTTTTGCTTGAACTAAGAGATTTAAGCTACGAAAATCAGTTAAAACTAAATTTCACAATCCTAGAGAAGAAGCAGAGGTGATATGATTACAACATACAAGATACTGAAAGGGAATACCCAAGGTAAACAAGGATAACCTCTTCATATTAAGAGTAGGACAGGAGGCTATAAGTAAATATATCGAAGAAATGTTCGGAAATACTCATATCCTGTACGGGTGGTGGGACGCGCTAGGAGAGGTTGTGGAAGCCACCTCCATCCATAACCTTAAAGCCAAATTTGACAAAGAATTCGAACATCAAGATATTTAAATTAAGATGCAACAGGTGCGACAATGAAGCAAGTAGGCGGGGCACAGAGCTAGAGCTCAATGCCTGGTAGTCACTGATAGGTCAGCACTTTCCACACTCCATAACATGGCGTACTTGTAGCGTCTTTGTAGAACGTCTCGCGAACCATTTCTTCCGGATTCGAGCCCCGAAGAGAGAGAGAGGGTTGACTGGGCACCAATCCCTAAATGGTCACCCCCCTGTTTACTTAGAAGTAATTTGGAAACCTGTTTTAAATCGAGATTGGTATTCGTATTTCAATGAAAACTTGTAGAAAACTACTTCCTTCTCTCTCTCCCACACACCGTCAACCTCTGTCCTCTCACACTTCTCGCCCCTCTCCACTCTTCCTCCCCCCCCCCACACTCGTATCATCTTCCTGCCCCTTTCCTCAACTCTTTTCCTCCTCTCCACCTGTCTCTCTCTCTCTCTTTCCCCTCTCTTCAAACATTCCCCCTCTCCCCGACCCCTTAGCCTTTTTTTTATTTATCTCTGTCTACCTCTCTCTATCTGTCTTTATCTGTGTGTTGGTGTCTGTCTCTGTCGTTCCGTTGACTATCTCTGTGTCTTCGTCTCTCTCACCTATACAAATAATGTAATAGTCTTCCATTGGCATGGGAGAGTTCGACAATGGGAGGAGCCTAGTGGTGCTAAAATTAACAAAAAAAATTATTCTTACCCATTTGTCTTTAGGAAAGAACTGGGCTTGGGGAAGGTTGGACTTGGGGAAGGCTGGGCTTGGGGAAGGCTGTGAAACCGTGGGAGGACTGTCTGTTGCATGGTAGGCATCCTACCATGCAACATGTCTGTTCCATGGTAGGCCCTGTTGCTTATGCATAAGCAACAGGGCCCCATTAAGGAACATATAATCTCTTCCCACAACCAAACCATCGCCAGAGAAATCCTAGTAAACAACACAGAAATCATCGATAGATACAGCGATAGCAGACGGCTTGACGTTTGCGAGGCACTACACATTAAGAAGTCAACACCAGCAATCAACAAAAAATTAATGCACAACTATATTCTACCCACCTCAAGACTCCGCTCCAATATAGAAGCATCAAGATATATGGACCAATAGGCTTTCTACAATCACTTCCATTCAATACCCATTGTTTCGTGTTCTGTCTTGTGTTGATGAATTTAATACCCTATTAATACCACCTCACCCCATCCACCTCACTCAAATGTAGATATAAACAAATTGGAGATGTGTAAGTTCTATTCAGTTGTGTATGTTTAAACTAAAGTCTTTGAAAATGTAATAAGTTTTACGAAACGCGCTCAAGTGGCGCGTCAGACTAGAAATAAAAATGAATTTTGGAGAATTGATTTTTGAATTACCACCAGCAGTGAAAAGAAATGTACGAAAGATTGAGAAAATTCGTGTTAGAATTATTAATCTTACTTTTTCGGTCATATTTAATAATATATGTCTACAGGAAAGACTGCTACCAATATATATATATATATATGCAAACAAGCCTGAATGGTCCCCAGGACTATATACAACTGAAAACTCACACCCCAGAAGTGACTCGAACCCATACTCCCACAACTGGTATGTACAGGGACGCCTTAATCCGCTTGACCATCACGACCGGACATAAGGAAGTGATAGCCGAGGCTATATGAACCACTTCCCCGCCGGCACTCGGATGGTAATCTTGGGCATAGCATTTTATCAAATCACCTCATTCTTTGGGGCACACGTGAGGAACACAAATGCAAACAAGCCTGAATGGTCCCCAGGACTATATACAACTGAAAACTCACACCCCAGAAGTGACTCGAACCCATACTCCCACAACTGGTATGTACAGGGACGCCTTAATCCGCTTGACCATCACGACCGGACATAAGGAAGTGATAGCCGAGGCTATATGAACCACTTCCCCGCCGGCACTCGGATGGTAATCTTGGGCATAGCATTTTATCAAATCACCTCATTCTTTGGGGCACACGTGAGGAACACAAATGCAAACAAGCCTGAATGGTCCCCAGGACTATATACAACTGAAAACTCACACCCCAGAAGTGACTCGAACCCATACTCCCACAACTGGTATGTACAGGGACGCCTTAATCCGCTTGACCATCACGACCGGACATAAGGAAGTGATAGCCGAGGCTATATGAACCACTTCCCCGCCGGCACTCGGATGGTAATCTTGGGCATAGCATTTTATCAAATCACCTCATTCTTTGGGGCACACGTGAGGAACACAAATGCAAACAAGCCTGAATGGTCCCCAGGACTATATACAACTGAAAACTCACACCCCAGAAGTGACTCGAACCCATACTCCCACAACTGGTATGTACAGGGACGCCTTAATCCGCTTGACCATCACGACCGGACATAAGGAAGTGATAGCCGAGGCTATATGAACCACTTCCCCAAGATGCCCAACCAATTCCCCAAATGCTATGCCCAAGATTACCATCCGAGTGCCGGCGGGGAAGTGGTTCATATAGCCTCGGCTATCACTTCCTTATGTCCGGTCGTGATGGTCAAGCGGATTAAGGCGTCCCTGTACATACCAGTTGTGGGAGTATGGGTTCGAGTCACTTCTGGGGTGTGAGTTTTCAGTTGTATATAGTCCTGGGGACCATTCAGGCTTGTTTGCATTTGTGTTCCTCACGTGTGCCCCAAAGAATGAGGTGATTTGATAAAATGCTATGCCCAAGATTACCATCCGAGTGCCGGCGGGGAAGTGGTTCATATAGCCTCGGCTATCACTTCCTTATGTCCGGTCGTGATGGTCAAGCGGATTAAGGCGTCCCTGTACATACCAGTTGTGGGAGTATGGGTTCGAGTCACTTCTGGGGTGTGAGTTTTCAGTTGTATATAGTCCTGGGGACCATTCAGGCTTGTTTGCATTTGTGTTCCTCACGTGTGCCCCAAAGAATGAGGTGATTTGATAAAATGCTATGCCCAAGATTACCATCCGAGTGCCGGCGGGGAAGTGGTTCATATAGCCTCGGCTATCACTTCCTTATGTCCGGTCGTGATGGTCAAGCGGATTAAGGCGTCCCTGTACATACCAGTTGTGGGAGTATGGGTTCGAGTCACTTCTGGGGTGTGAGTTTTCAGTTATATATATATATATATATATATATATATATATATATATATATATATATATATATATATATATATATATATATATATATATATATATATATATATATATTTATTGTATATATATATATTATATATATTGTTTAAACTAATTAAGTCTTATGAGTTTATTTCTCCATTTGGCAGAGACAAGAAAGATTCGAAAGACCATTTACTAGCGGACAGTTCAACTGTTGTTGAGCGTTTAATTGGTACAGTGTTTTAATTAAGTATAATACGTATACAACAACCCATTCGCACAGGATCTCTTTTGCATACACGTGTGTGTGTGTTCGCACTCACTGACGTACACACCTGTACATGTGTGTGTGTGTACGCATAAACCTGCATGTAAATATACACCTGCACACTAGCAGTCATATATATGGTCCTAAACACAGGGGAAGAGCACGGTTTATACTTGGACCCATGGTTTAGATATAGACCCATGGTTTAGTTATAGACCCATGGTTTAGATGTTGACCCATGGTTTAGTTATAGACCCATGGTTTAGATATAGACCCATGGTTTAGTTATAGACCCATGGTTTAGTTGTAGACCCATGGTTTAGTTATAGACCCATGGTTTAGTTGTAGACCCATGGTTTAGATGTTGACCCATGGTTTAGTTATAGACCCATGGTTTAGTTGTAGACCCATGGTTTAGTTATAGACCCATGGTTTAGTTATAGACCCATGGTTTAGTTGTAGACCCATGGTTTAGATGTTGACCCATGGTTTAGTTATAGACCCATGGTTTAGTTGTAGACCCATGGTTTAGATATAGACCCATGGTTTAGTTGTAGACCCATGGTTTAGATGTTGACCCATGGTTTAGTTATAGACCCATGGTTTAGTTGTAGACCCATGGTTTAGATATAGACCCATGGTTTAGTTATAGACCCATGGTTTAGATGTAGACCCATGGTTTAGATGTAGACCCATGGTTTAGTTGTAGACCCATGGTTTAGATATAGACCCATGGTTTAGTTGTAGACCCATGGTTTAGTTGTAGACCCATGGTTTAGTTATAGACCCATGGTTTAGTTATAGACCCATGGTTTAGTTATAGACCCATGGTTTAGTTATAGACCCATGGTTTAGATATAGACCCATGGTTTAGTTATAGACCCATGGTTTAGTTATAGACCCATGGTTTAGATATAGACCCATGGTTTAGTTATAGACCCATGGTT